GAGGAGAATGACATGGCGCACGTGCCACGCGTGTACATGAAGACGTTGCACGACCGGGTGATGAAACCGGAGCAGCAAGACGCCATGGTTAAACGGTGGCCACCGAGCCAAACTTACGAATTGGATACCGACCATTCTCCTTTCTTCTCTAATCCTTTTGTTCTCTTCGGTTTACTCATCAAAGCTGCCGTTTCTATGGGTTCTATCTAAATATTCAAGTCTTATGTATCTTTGTGTTGTTCGATTTAAAACCCGGTTAAGCGATCGGTTTGGTGGTTTGAGTATTTTTTTCCAATAACCAAATGGAATGGTAGTCTTTAAATTTCTCTTGCGTCACGAAACTCATTTTATAAAGTTAAATTTGGATTTTACTTTTTAGTTTTAGAGAATGCACTAGTATTTCACCCGTACTGCGTCCAGGATAACAAATTATTAGATTAAGGGATGTAACATAATTTTTCCAAAGTGTTATGAATCAATAATTTTATTAATTTCTGCTTTCAAAGATTGGAGGTTGAGTGGTGCGGATTGGTGAAATGTTTTAGAAGTAGCGATGATCTGTTAAAATAATAAAACTCAACTTAGCATGGTTTCGAAAGGGAAGGAATGTTTACATATATTTTTCGTTTTCTTTAACACAAACAAACTTCATTTTAACTTAAACATGGGGATAAAAATATTGTTTCTGCTTTTCCACAATCGGAGTTAACAAATTAATTATAGTAAATTTGACTTGTCAATGCACAAATTTCCTCTCGTCTTATGAACCTGAAGGTCGGTTGTAAGGGCCCAGTCCTGGTTCCAGGGATCTCCGACGTGAAAGTCTTCAACCTTGGCCACCGAAATGGCTCATTGACAGCCTGAATCTGGGAATCGCTCCCTCCAGAGAGACTTTTACTAAACCCAAATTGTTAACACAAAACATAGCCCAGATTAAGGCTGTTGCTTTTGCTTCCAAGGCAGAATGGAGTTTAGGATAGGACGCCCCATCCCATCTAGTTTGAACCCATTCATCCCGTAAAACCCATCCAACTCCACACTGTTCATAGGTCGCAGATCATGAGACATCTGCATCGGATGGAACAATTTTTAAACCATGAAACTTGTAGTTTATTCTACACACATGGATTATATATTAAAAGAACAAAATTTTACTCTGTTAGCTCAAACCAAGCCAAATATTTCACATGTTACTACTACTAATACAAAATCTTTATTCAAGTTAAGATACCACTAATCAAAAGAATCGAAGTTAAATCCTTGAATCAGTTCAAAATTAGGCAAAGGCTCAACATTTTAAAAATCCCAAAATCCACTCGAGAAACATGAATCGAATACCTGGCGGCAATAGAGTAAACGTCGTTCACATCAGCTCCGTTCTCGAGCAACACTCCAATGATCTAATATGAAATAGAAAAAAAGATCATCAAATTGAAAATAAAACAATCTGTAAAGTCTGTGAAATAAGAATTATAGAAAGCCAACCTCGTTTGTCCTTCAGCGGCGGCGCCACCGAAGGTAGAGACGTAGAGTGCTTGGCGAGGCAAAGATTGCAATCGAGAAGCATCTTCGCCTCAACGAAATCACCATCTCTCGCCGCCGCCGACACCAATCTCTCGCTGGACGCCGAACATCCAAACGAATTTCCCCATTTTTTAACTCTACATCTCTCTTCTTCATATGAGAATGAAAATCTCTCTCTATCTGAAAATCAATTGGGTGTGAAAAATGGGTCAACCATTGTGGAAAGATACAGAGAGGAAAGAACGGGATTTGATATGAAGCATAAACTTACGTTTAATATATGTTTCTTCTTCTTCACTTTCTTCACGCTAAGATTCGAGAAATTCATTCGTCAAGGGGAAGCTCTGGTAACAGCGATTCATCTGCCACAAACTAATTTTTTTTTTAAGATGAATAGATTTGGGTGGTTCGTTTGCGGCTGGATATGTGAGAGATTTCATGGTAAAAGTGGATTTATGAGATTGAAGATCGTGAGGATGAAGACGGTTTCTTAGATCGTGGAAGTTACAGAGAAAAAAAAACAATTTGAACAAAAAGAAATAAGAAAAAGTAAAAAACCAACGAAAAAAAGAAAAAAGAAATTTACAAAAGATATTTGGAAGGGACACGTGTCACTCATATAAGCCACGAGGTGACTTCACACTATTCATAGGTCGCAGATCATGAGACATCTGCATCGGATGGAACAATTTTTAAACCATGAAACTTATAGTTTATTCTTCACACATGGATTATATATTAAAAGAACAAAATTTTACTCTGTTAGCTCAAACCAAGCCAAATATTTCACATGTTACTACTACTAATACAAAATCTTTATTCAAGTTAAGATACCACTAATCAAAAGAATCGAAGTTAAATCCTTGAATCAGTTCAAAATTAGGCAAAGGCTCAACATTTTAAAAATCCCAAAATCCACTCGAGAAACATGAATCGAATACCTGGCGGCAATAGAGTAAACGTCGTTCACATCAGCTCCGTTCTCGAGCAACACTCCAATGATCTAATATGAAATAGAAAAAAAGATCATCAAATTGAAAATAAAACAATCTGTAAAGTCTGTGAAATAAGAATTATAGAAAGCCAACCTCGTTTGTCCTTCAGCGGCGGCGCCACCGAAGGTAGAGACGTAGAGTGCTTGGCGAGGCAAAGATTGCAATCGAGAAGCATCTTCGCCTCAACGAAATCACCATCTCTCGCCGCCGCCGACACCAATCTCTCGCTGGACGCCGAACATCCAAACGAATTTTCCCATTTTTTAAGTCTACATCTCTCTTCTTCATATGAGAATGAAAATCTCTCTCTATCTGAAAATCAATTGGGTGTGAAAAATGGGTCAACCATTGTGGAAAGATACAGAGAGGAAAGAACGGGATTTGATATGAAGCATAAACTTACGTTTAATATATGTTTCTTCTTCTTCACTTTCTTCACGCTAAGATTCGAGAAATTCATTCGTCAAGGGGAAGCTCTGGTAACAGCGATTCGTCTGCCACAAACTAATTTTTTTTTTAAGATGAATAGATTTGGGTGGTTCGTTTGCGGCTGGAGATGTGAGAGATTTCATGGTAAAAGTGGATTTATGAGATTGAAGATCGTGAGGATGAAGACGGTTTCTTAGATCGTGGAAGTTACAGAGAAAAAAAAACAATTTGAACAAAAAGAAATAAGAAAAAGTAAAAAACCAACGAAAAAAAGAAAAAAGAAATTTACAAAAGATATTTGGAAGGGACACGTGTCACTCATATAAGCCACGAGGTGACTTCACACTGTTCATAGGTCGCAGATCATGAGACATCTGTATCGGATGGAACAATTTTTAAACCATGAAACTTGTAGTTTATTCTTCACACATGGATTATATATTAAAAGAACAAAATTTTACTCTGTTAGCTCAAACCAAGCCAAATATTTCACATGTTACTACTACTAATACAAAATCTTTTTCAAGTTAAGATACCACTAATCAAAAGAATTGAAGTTAAATCCTTGAATCAGTTCAAAATTAGGCAAAGGCTCAACATTTTAAAAATTCCAAAATCCACTCGAGAAACATGAATCGAATACCTGGCGGCAATAGAGTAAACGTCGTTCACATCAGCTCCGTTCTCGAGCAACACTCCAATGATCTAATATGAAATAGAAAAAAAGATCATCAAATTGAAAATAAAACAATCTGTAAAGTCTGTGAAATAAGAATTATAGAAAGCCAACCTCGTTTGTCCTTCAGCGGCGGCGCCACCGAAGGTAGAGACGTAGAGTGCTTGGCGAGGCAAAGATTGCAATCGAGAAGCATCTTCGCCTCAACGAAATCACCATCTCTCGCCGCCGCCAACACCAATCTCTCGCTGGACGCCGAACATCCAAACGAATTTCCCCATTTTTAACTCTACATCTCTCTTCTTCATATGAGAATGAAAATCTCTCTCTATCTGAAAATCAATTGGGTGTGAAAAATGGGTCAACCATTGTGGAAAGATACAGAGAGGAAAGAACGGGATTTGATATGAAGCATAAACTTACGTTTAATATATGTTTCTTCTTCTTCATTTTCTTCACGCTAAGATTCGAGAAATTCATTCGTCAAGGGGAAGCTCTGATAACAGCGATTCGTCTGCCACAAACTAATTTTTTTTTTAAGATGAATAGATTTGGGTGGTTCGTTTGCGGCTGGAGATGTGAGAAATTTCATGGTAAAAGTGGATTTATGAGATTGAAGATCGTGAGGATGAAGACGGTTTCTTAGATCGTGGAAGTTACAGAGAAAAAAAAACAATTTGAACAAAAAGAAATAAGAAAAAGTAAAAAACCAACGAAAAAAAGAAAAAAGAAATTTACAAAAGATATTTGGAAGGGACACGTGTCACTCATATAAGCCACGAGGTGACTTCACACTGTTCATAGGTCGCAGATCATGAGACATCTGTATCGGATGGAACAATTTTTAAACCATGAAACTTGTAGTTTATTCTTCACACATGGATTATATATTAAAAGAACAAAATTTTACTCTGTTAGCTCAAACCAAGCCAAATATTTCACATGTTACTACTACTAATACAAAATCTTTTTCAAGTTAAGATACCACTAATCAAAAGAATTGAAGTTAAATCCTTGAATCAGTTCAAAATTAGGCAAAGGCTCAACATTTTAAAAATTCCAAAATCCACTCGAGAAACATGAATCGAATACCTGGCGGCAATAGAGTAAACGTCGTTCACATCAGCTCCGTTCTCGAGCAACACTCCAATGATCTAATATGAAATAGAAAAAAAGATCATCAAATTGAAAATAAAACAATCTGTAAAGTCTGTGAAATAAGAATTATAGAAAGCCAACCTCGTTTGTCCTTCAGCGGCGGCGCCACCGAAGGTAGAGACGTAGAGTGCTTGGCGAGGCAAAGATTGCAATCGAGAAGCATCTTCGCCTCAACGAAATCACCATCTCTCGCCGCCGCCGACACCAATCTCTCGCTGGACGCCGAACATCCAAACGAATTTCCCCATTTTTAACTCTACATCTCTCTTCTTCATATGAGAATGAAAATCTCTCTCTATCTGAAAATCAATTGGGTGTGAAAAATGGGTCAACCATTGTGGAAAGATACAGAGAGGAAAGAACGGGATTTGATATGAAGCATAAACTTACGTTTAATATATGTTTCTTCTTCTTCACTTTCTTCACGCTAAGATTCGAGAAATTCATTCGTCAAGGGGAAGCTCTGGTAACATCGATTCGTCTGCCACAAACTAATTTTTTTTTTAAGATGAATAGATTTGGGTGGTTCGTTTGCGGCTGGAGATGTGAGAAATTTCATGGTAAAAGTGGATTTATGAGATTGAAGATCGTGAGGATGAAGACGGTTTCTTAGATCGTGGAAGTTACAGAGAAAAAAAAACAATTTGAACAAAAAGAAATAAGAAAAAGTAAAAAGCCAACGAAAAAAAGAAAAAAGAAATTTACTAAAAATATTTGGAAGGGACACGTATCACTCATATAAGCCACGAGGTGACTTCTGTTTTATTAGTATAAATAAGATTCCAGTTATTAGACTCATAATTACTGCAATTTAATTCCGGTTTATGTGTCAACCGATAAGAAATTGCAAAAGAGGAAAAGAGTGTAATCAGAGAAGACAGTGTGAAGAAGGTTGCAGCTTGTAAGCAACCCAATTTTCCTTAATAAAAATCAATCTCTCTCGGGAGAAGTAGAGTGAATCCACAGAGAGAGCGTTTTACCTCACGGAAACGATACCACTCTCTCCATTTCCAAATTTCCTGATTTCTCTCATCTACATGCATGGTAATTGGTAAGCATTTCTCCATTTTCTTTCCACAAAATTCGACTTCACTCGTCGCCTACAATTTTCGTTCTCGTCGATTTCGAGCTGATCGGATTTTGATTCTGTTTGATTTTTGTGTTTTGAATCTATTCCGACGCTTCAGTGGAAAAAACCCAAATTAAGTATGATGGAATCAGAAGAAGAAACGGCGGTATGCTTTGCCTCGTCTCTTTCTCTTCTCAGTTCTCACTCATTATATAGCATGCAAATGTACATTTGCTGCTAAAAAAATCGAGTACTGTGTTTTCTGAATTTAGCTGCGTCTTTCAATTGTAGGGGAAATTGATGAGTGGGCAGATTTGCCAGATCTGCAGTGACAATGTTGGGAAGACCGTGAACGGAGATCCCTTTGTGGCTTGTGACTTTTGCTCATACCCAGTTTGTAGACCTTGCTATGAGTATGAGAGGAAACACGGAAACCATTCTTGTCCTCAATGCAAGACCACATACAAGAGACTCAAGGGTACTACTTTTCATTCTCTTTGTTTCTTTGTTTCCTTAATCAGTTTGATCATTGTTACTGAAAAACATATATTATTGGTTTCTCTGGCTTCAGTTTACAAGACTGACGTTCTACCACTGAGCTATACGGGCTCCTTGACTTTCTATTTCCATTTTCATTTATAATGTAAAGAGCCAATAAGACATGAACACAAATTCACAAAGCTCAGAGCCCAAAGGCACTATATGAAGAGAACGTTACATAGCTCTATTTGGAGAAATGTATTATTTCGTTTTCGTTTATATATTTATAAAACCACAACCATTACAAGAAGTCCAAACATAGCCACATGAAGTCACAAACGACGAGAAACTGATCAGTTTGCAGGATTGTTCCAAAGAAACTGAACATCAACAAGAGAGAGATCCTGATCATCAAGCCTCTTCCATGTCCTAATCGACTTCACACCTCCCCATTTCCCATCTCTGTTCTTGTTCAAACCAGCAACCACAACTCTCGCTCTCCTCGGCCACCCAGTAAAACCATAAGCATGATACCCAGCTACACCACCGTAGCACAGATTCACACCTTTGAGCTCACCGCAAAAGTCGTTGTTATGGTCGTGTCCCACAAACACACCTTTCACATCTCCTCTAGCTACCAACGTCGTGAAGAAACCCGAGTTGGTTTTTGCCGATGACGTTTCTTCTAGCCTATCTCCTTTCGTGGCGTTCATTGAGTCGAAAGTCCAATACTCCGGTAATGGAATGTGGAAGTAAGCAAGCCCCGGAGCCACACCTTCTTGAGCATTAGGCTCCGCGTTGTACTCCCTCTGAAGATTTTTTGAAGTGTTGTTGAACCAGAGTTGCTGAGAAGTTTTGATCCAGTCATAGCCTTTGATGGAAGGGACTTTGGAGTAATCTCCACTGTCGAGGAAGTAGAGATTTAGGAGGGATTTGTTCTGTAGGAACGAATCAGCAGCAGCAGCAGCAGCTCCGTGGACTTGGAGGTTGTAATTACCAAACCCATCGATGTAATGAGCAGCCTCGGGAGGATTCACTTGGGACAGAGTGTAGGGAAGCGTCACGATGTGTTTCATGAGTTCTTGTCGTGATAATGTAGATTCTTGATCGTGGTTTCCCAAAACAGCAACCCAAGGGGTCTTAGACGCAATCGCCGGAGCAAATGCAGCGTTCAAGGATTTCACTGGGTCCTTCACATGAGGCCCATAGATGTTATCACCTGAGAACGAAACAGAATCCCAAAATTCAATTCAATTGGTATAATTCAAATTAGGGATTTTTTAATTTGGGGTTTTTGTTACCGGTGAAGACGATGAGGTCAGGCTTCTCGGCGGCGATGAGTCGGGACAAGAAGGCGGTGGTGTTGAGGTCGGAGCAGTGATCCATTTGGGCTGGAAGGACATTGAGACACCGTGTGGTTGCGCCGTTTGCGAAGTGCATGTCAGCTACTTGCAGTATCTTGAACTCGCCGTTGGCATCGAACCTGAGTTTCCGAGGTTGTGCCGATGCCGGAATCGGAGATAAAAAGAGACATAGCAGAGACGCGGAGAGAAGAGAGATGTGGAACAAGCTCCTTCTTCTTCGATTGTCCGCCATTGTGATGTGGAGCTAGAGAGACGATAAGTGCCTTTGGTTTTGTAGTCTCTGTGAGTAGATGATAATGTATCAAAGAAAGTGTGAAGAAACTACAAGAAGAAGACAAAGGAGGAGACCATGAAAATTCAAAGGGAGTGACTTTAAAAAAATTCCAAAAAAGGTTTTACTTTTCGTCCTCTCGTTAAGTCATTTTAGGCGTGATCAATACTCTGGAGTTAAAAAAGTTTATATAAATGCAAAATCTTTTATGAATGATGTCGTCAATTATGTAAATTTGCAAATTATTATTATTATTATTATTATTTTTTTTTTTTGTCATTTAAAATTATATTGAAATTAGATAAATACATGGTGTTATACACCATCCAAACTTACACGACCACAACAACCACATAAAATACTAGTTGAAAATTTAATGATATCTTAAGGATGCGCACCACGTGGTTTACAAGACTGACGCTCTACCACTGAGCTATACGGGCTCCTTGACTTTCCATTTCCATTTTCATTTATAACGAGTGTAAAGAGCCATTGCGCGTTACATAGCTCTATTTGAAGAAACAGAGCAAACCATAGATGATGGATGGTTTTGCTGATGATTTTAGTTATAAAGAAAACCCACAGAAGGAGAAGATTTCAGAGAGGATGCTTGGATGGCATCTTACACGTGGTAAAGGAGAGGAGATTGAGCACTCTGACTCTGACAAAGAGGCCTCTCACAATCTCATTCCTCGTCTCACTAGTAGACAAGAGGTAAGGCATTACTGATTCTCCCTCTTTTCTGGCATTCACATCAAAGCCTATTGTGAATCTTGGGATCTGATTTTCTCTCTTGCTTTTATTGATAGGTTTCTGGTGAGTTTTCTGCTGCTTCACCTGAACGTCTGTCTGTATCTTCTATTACAGCTGGTGTAAAGCAGCTTCCTTATTCGTCTGATGTCAATCATTCACGTAATTACTCTTTGTTATACTGTTTAAACCAACTTGCATACATACTTAAAGGCTTCTAAATTTGGTCAACTCAAAACTCTGTTGTATTGTCCTGGCAGCAAACAGAAGGGTTTTGGATCCTGTTAGGGATTTTGGTTCAACAGGGTTAGGCAATGTAGCCTGGAAGGAGAGAGTTGACGGTTGGAAAATGAAGCAGGAGAACAAATCCGGTCCTGTGAGCACTCAAGCTGCTTCTGAAAGGGATATTGATGCCTCCACTGATGTCTTTGTTGATGAGGCTTTGCTGTGAGTACTAGTTTTGTTTTCTCTTTGGTCCTACAGGGTTCTTTGGAGAAAGATTCATTTTTTTCTTAGAATATGTTACTGTGCAGGAATGACGAAGCTCGGCAGCCTCTTTCAAGAAAAGTGTCGATTCCATCATCACGGATAAATCCCTACAGAATGGTTATAATGCTGCGGCTTGTAATCCTATGTCTCTTCCTGCATTACCGTGTCACAAACCCTGTGCCAAATGCATTTGCTCTGTGGCTGGTATCAGTGATATGCGAGATCTGGTTCGCCTTATCATGGATTCTGGATCAGTTCCCAAAGTGGTTTCCTGTTAACCGGGAAACATACCTTGATAGACTATCTTTAAGGTATGTTACATATCTCTCTATTTTGAAGTTGTAACTCAAGGAGTTTCCTGGTAATCCTTTACATGACCATAGGTACGATCGTGAAGGCGAACCATCACAGTTAGCCGCTGTGGACATTTTTGTGAGTACTGTTGACCCCTTGAAGGAGCCTCCTTTGGTGACAGCCAACACAGTACTCTCTATTATGGCGGTTGATTACCCTGTGGATAAGGTGTCTTGTTATGTTTCTGATGATGGTGCTGCTATGCTATCATTTGAATCACTAGCAGAAACATCCGAGTTTGCACGGAAATGGGTACCTTTCTGCAAGAAATATAATATTGAGCCTCGAGCACCAGAGTGGTACTTTGCTCTGAAAATTGATTACTTGAAGGATAAAGTTCTTCCATCATTTGTCAAAGATCGCAGAGCTATGAAGGTGAGTTTGTACTTTGTAGTTTAGTCATTCAAAACATACCCAATAACCTTTAACATGCTATAAATTTGGCAGAGGGAGTATGAGGAATTCAAGATCCGAATCAATGCACTTGTTGCCAAGGCCCAGAAAGTCCCTGAGGAAGGCTGGGTTATGCAAGATGGTACGCCATGGCCTGGAAACAACACAAGGGACCATCCAGGAATGATCCAGGTGAGAGTGTAATATTGGGATTGTAATATTGTACATTTTAAGCCCATTGTTTGTCAATCTTGTTTCCACTGATTGTCACTGAGGTAGCTTTTGTTGATTTCAGGTTTTCTTGGGACAAAATGGTGGACTGGACGCAGAGGGCAACGAGCTTCCACGTTTGGTCTATGTTTCTAGGGAAAAGCGACCAGGGTTCCAGCATCACAAAAAGGCTGGTGCTATGAACGCACTTGTAGGTTTTCTTATTGATGAATTTTGGTTTTGATTTTCTTATCTAATTTAGCAGCTGACTAGCATTCTCTCTTCATTTGAACAGGTTAGAGTTTCAGCAGTCCTTACTAATGGACCCTTTTTATTGAATCTCGACTGTGATCATTACATAAATAACAGCAAGGCCTTGAGAGAAGCAATGTGCTTCCTAATGGACCCAAACCTTGGGAAGCAAGTGTGTTATGTCCAGTTCCCACAGAGATTTGATGGTATCGATAGAAATGATAGATATGCTAATCGTAATACCGTTTTCTTCGATGTAAGCTCTGCACTTTCCACAATTAATGTCTGGATTTCGATCTAGCAAAAATGTCATCAACTCAGCATTGTTTTATATTTGCTGTAACCTTTCCTTGATGCTCTTCAGATCAATTTGAGAGGCTTAGATGGGATTCAAGGACCTGTATATGTGGGAACTGGGTGTGTTTTCAACAGAACTGCATTATATGGTTATGAACCTCCAGTGAAACTAAAACAGAAGAAAGCTAGTGTTTTATCTAGACTTTGTGGAGGATCAAGAAAGAAGGATTCCAAATCTAAAAAGGACTCTGACAAAAAGAAATCTGGCAAGCACACGGACTCAACCATTCCTATATTCAACCTTGATGATATAGAAGAGGGAGTGGAAGGTACAACTTTTTTTATCTCCTTCTCTTCCAGTTTCTCTATTCTACCGTTTTGTTGATCCAACGCTTTCTACTATTTTCACATTTTCAAAATCAGGTCCTGGTTTGGACGATGACAAGGCACTCTTGATGTCGCAAATGAGCCTGGAGGAACGATTTGGACAATCCCATGTTTTCGTTGCTTCTACCCTTATGGAAAATGGAGGTGTTCCTCCATCTGCAACTCCAGAAAACCTTCTTAAAGAAGCCATCCATGTCATTAGCTGTGGATACGAGGACACAACAGAATGGGGAACTGAGGTACTTCCCCAGTTCTACTCTCTTTTACACATAAGCGTTTCTTTCTATATCCTCTTCTGATCTATTGTTCTGCTTTCTGATGTCATTGTTCAGATTGGATGGATCTATGGCTCTGTTACAGAAGATATCCTCACCGGATTCAAAATGCATGCCCGTGGTTGGAGGTCGATTTACTGTATGCCCAAAAGACCAGCATTCAAAGGCTCTGCTCCAATCAATCTTTCTGATCGACTGAACCAAGTCCTCCGGTGGGCTCTAGGTTCAGTCGAGATTCTCTTCAGTAGGCATTGTCCAATCTGGTACGGTTATGGAGGGAGGCTGAAATTTCTTGAGAGGTTTGCATATGCAACACCACAATTTACCCAATCACCTCCATTCCTCTCCTCATGTATTGCACATTACCTGCCGTTTGTCTCTTCACCAACCAATTCATCATTCCTCAGGTTTTCTCTCTCTTTCTCTCTATCTCTTGAATGTTAGTTTTATCTCACTCTGATGATCCTATCTCTTTTTTTTTTTTAGATAAGTAACTTGGCAAGCATATGGTTTCTGTCTCTCTTTCTCTCCATTTTCGCCACTGGTATACTGGAAATGAGGTGGAGCGGTGTGGGCATAGACGAATGGTGGAGAAATGAGCAGTTTTGGGTCATTGGTGGAGTATCAGCTCACTTGTTTGCAGTCTTTCAAGGTCTACTTAAAGTCCTGGCCGGTATTGACACCAACTTTACAGTCACATCAAAAGCCTCAGACGAAGACGGTGACTCTGCCGAGCTTTACTTGATCAAATGGACAACACTTTTAATCCCACCGACGACTCTGCTTATCATAAACCTCGTAGGAGTGGTTGCAGGAGTTTCTTATGCTATCAATAGTGGATATCAGTCTTGGGGACCTTTATTTGGTAAGCTCTTCTTTGCCTTTTGGGTAATAGTTCACTTATACCCATTCCTTAAGGGTTTGATGGGTCGACAGAACCGGACTCCAACCATTATTGTTGTCTGGTCGGTCCTTCTTGCTTCCATCTTCTCCTTGTTGTGGACTAGAGTCACTGGACCGGACGTGCTGGTTTGTGGAATCAACTGTTGAGAATTGAGATGAGCGTTTTGGTCAACACATATAATAATGTTAATATTATCGGTGTTTTTCTTGTCCTTTGGTATGTGCAGTTTTTGTTTACTTTGTCAATATCAATGAAAGTGTAAAAAGGAAGCCTTAATGTGAACCCTAGCGTTTGCGTTTGACCTAAGGGATCAATAGATAACACGATTCCATCAGTTTCCATATGATCTCAAGAAAGAAACACACAAACAGTCATCGTCAATGAAAGCAAAGCATTTATTTGGCAGAAGAGTTTCAGAAAAACTGACTCAGACGATTACAAAATGACTTCTTAAGAAAACTGGATTCAAACAACGTCAAGGGTTCTTTGTAGAAAAGGAGTGAGTAACTTCATGCTTCAGAACCTGTGCTCCAATTTCTCCTGTTCCTGGAAATGCTGAGCATACCTGCATTCATTTGCATATTTGAAGATTAAGCACAGGAGATGACAAGAGAAACTAAGTAAACCATAATATGCAACACCATAATGCTTAGATGATGCATACACCAACAGTTTCT